GTTTCCTAGCTTTGTACAGCTCAGTTTTCTTCTTATGTGATTTAAACCGAACAATAATAGGTTTGGGGCCGCTGCTGTTCCGAGGTCCCATTCGGTGACAAATGTCGATATCAGAGGGAGATATGTGCACGTTGACGACTTTTCCAAGCTTAACAACATTTTCAGCGATATTTTCGTCTGCAGTTTCGTCGATTCCGTGAATATCTAAGTTGTGTTTTCTTGTATACTGTTCCACGTCATCTACTTGGGTTATCGCCGTTCCAAGATCTTCGTAGAGGATGTCAACATCTGCTCTTACCTCGCTGAGAGATTTTTCAAGCGACGACACTTTATCTTTAAGCTCTTCATTTTCTTTTTTGAGAGACGTCAGTTCGGCATTATTGAAGTCTAAAGATTCCTTTTATTCTTCATATTGCCTTCTCATAGCACGGTTTTCTTCCAATAGTTCGTCTGTGTTCCTACGGATCTTGTTTAGGACTATCCAAACGTTTCTATCGTTCTCGTTGTTGCTTAACTCTTCAAGAGTCTGCTTCGCCGACTTGGTTGGAGGTACCTCGGGCGCTCTTCCGCTACTAAACCCTTCATCAAGTTTTCTTCGCACAACAGAAGGTGTATTACTGCTTTCCTCACTTTCTTTTCTTGACATTTTAGGGCGGAGAGAATAACGTTCTCGGACTACTCGAAAACACGTCCGCACATCATGCGAGTCTCCCCAGTCCTTTATACATAGTTTGTCGCTTATTTGGACCAAAAAAATCCAAACGAAATCTTAATGCGCTCTTGACCCATACTAGAGATGCCGAAAAAACAGAATTTTGAAAGTAAAAAGTCTACAAGTTGTTCTCGTTGAATTTTCGTAGTTTTTACGTAACGTTAAAGATTAGCCCTTTCACTACAAAAAGCCGCTGTTTTAATCTTAAAAAAGTAGACTATAAGTATTTAAAATAACGATTTTAGTTAGTGATCTTCGCAAAAATTCCTCCCTTTTCTCTCTTATTGTGGCGCTTTTGTGCGGCGTTCATGCTTGAATAGCCCGCCACGGTAGCTCATTATTATGCGTAAATGTCCAGCCATTCTGCCCAATGTACTTGTATTTACAGTTTACTTGGTAAAAGGGATTTTTTTTGATACAAATTTTAGATACATCTGGCAATATGTTCTTGGACAAGGAAATTAATGCTTAAAGGGAAATCCTCTGGATTGGTTATATTTCCAGGGGCGTAACTACCTGTGCGCACGGTACGCACGTGCGTACCTGAAAAAGTCGAGGGTAAAAAAATAACATGAAATAAGATAAAATAAAAAAGAGAATAATTTAAAAAAGAAAGTGTAAAAGTTAAAACAACAACGACAATATAAATTGCCTCAATTCCGTTTAACTCTTTTTGATTCTTTGGAGTATTTTTCCTTACGGACTATTTTTTTTTTCAAACCCGAAAGTCGGTTTTCAAAACAACAGACTCTTTTCTCCCACATCAGAATTAAAAGTCGGTTTTCGTTTGAATCTTAAATGATATACTTAAAGATGCGCTCAGATAGCAAGAGGGACGGTATAAAACGTGAACACGTCATTTTCACCCAGGCCGTTCTTCGCAGCAGACAAAGGAGAGCTAATTATGTGAGTGCAGTCTGCCGGTCAAATTTGGAGTGGGGGGAGGGGGGAGGGAGATTTGAAAAAAATGTGCGTACCTCTGGAAAAATCCTGGCTACGCCCCTGATTTCCCCCAGTGCCATTTGTGTTTCGGCAGTTAACATTTGTACTTGATCATTTCTTGCTTGATTTTCAATGATGCGAATCATTTATAAACATGATGATTTGGGCTACTCCCAAGAATCAAACTGTCCTTTTGTAGTCGAGTACACTTGACTATGTTGATATCTATTTGTGACAGCCAAAAATCTCTTCAGGTTGACAGGTTGAAGGTTTAGAACAACAAAGTTCTTCGACCCACCTTCTCCCCGCTCCCTTTCCCCCTTAGCTATGAGGTACAGTGTAACTGGAATGTATATCTTTTAGCGATCAGCTGTACATATGTTTTTCAAGTAAAAACCATTCTTATGTTAAACCAGACAATCTTGTTTGTTCAAGAGTGTCCTTTGTTACCTAGCCTTAATTATTAACACTGGGGGAGACAAAACAGGGAAACTTTTTTTTTTTCACATTAACAGTACCTGCTGCAGAGGTTACTGACTCAGCTTGAATGCCAGCACTGATACATTTGGTCATTTAAATCTAATGGTCAAAGTACTTAAAAAGAATATTTTTTTCTTTTGCATTTACTTGAACATATATAGGTTCCCAAAGCCTCTGATATGGTTTTGCTCAATTAACAAAAGACTAGAGAATATTATAGCAAGTGTCCATGAGAAGGGTCTTTCTCATAACATCGTAAAAATGACAATGAACTTCATCAGAAAATAACAGTTAAGTGATAATTTTATTATTCTGGTTTTAGAATCATTCTAAAATAACCATTGGGCGCAAATCAATTTCCCCTCAACTGCTTGGCTTGACGGGCCTTTAAAGGGCCCTAAAACGCGTTCTGTCAACTCCAATGGCTGTAAATTTAGATTTTTCAGTGTGTTAAGAGGTACTTATATGTACAAAAAAAAATAAGTTTACTCCCTAGATCAAGGGAAGGTATGGCAAAGACCTCTATCATTTTCATAGGGGACATTTGGCCCTTTGTGACAGACCATTCATACTCTGTACCAGCTTTCCCAACTGCTGATGCTTACAGTACAGTACCCAACAGTGTATGGTGACTACCAATTTTCAAAAGCTATAGGCACAAAAAAACACATGGTAGTTTGACTTGCCCTTTTTTTTATCGTGACTTAGCATTCCCTTTTTCACATGCTCATCAGATGTTGGTAACTCTACTTAGCTACAGGTAAAGGTGGATGGCGAATATTATCTTCAATTCCTTCTTTAAAAAACCATGAAACAGTCTCAAATAGTTACCAATTGGTTCCCCTTAATTCATAGTAAAAGGTATACCAAAAGCAAAAATTTGATTCAAAATACTATGCAATAATGCAGGTAGCAGTGTTTCGATGGAGGGGCAGAGGGGTACAGGGGAAGGTGTGGCATTTGTGGCATTTGTGTTACGAAAAACCGCAGTTTGGTTGCGGGCAAAAATCTCCAGAGAGGGGATAGAAGAAGAGTCCAAATGCCACACCTATGACCATCCCCCACCTCCCATTAATACCTGTAAATAACACACATGTGAGGCAGTATGAGATGTTCTGTCAGACTATTCAACTAAATTATTACATGGCCGATAAGTCAAAGGAAAATAACAAATTACTCTTATGCAGATCTCTAAAAAACTTGATTCACTTAGAACCTGCTTTTGTGTGGTAGTAAAGCTGAGTAAAGTACGTGAAAAATACACTAAAAAAGAGTCAAATGAAAATAATAAATGTTCATTTATTAAATATACAGCTATGTTTATACCGTTCAAGGAAAATGAGCTTCATCCACAACAGCTTCCTCCTCTCTTTTTCGATTTGAAAATAATTCCTTCATTGGCAACATACACCGTGTGTACGTTAGCCGTGTATTGTTGCTGATTGTTGTTATGATTGCAACAAAACCTCGAAATTCACAAAGGCCAACCATTTCTTCATACCTTTTAGGATGTCCTCCTTCTTTAGCGAAACTTCGAAAGGCCACGGGGTATTCATCAATATTTTTTCAAAATAAATAAGCTTCAACCAGCTCGCATCCACACGTTCCAACGTCTGATCTGTTTCGCTCTGTTACCAAAATAACCGATATTTTGAACCGCTTCGGGAATATAATTCCATAAACAAGGGCCTTAATGCATCATGCAGCCTTTTCGTAATTCCGTATGTCCTAATTTGCCGAAAGAAAACTGAATCGCCTCATAAAAATCTCAGTTTCCTGCTTCATGTTGCTCTTATTGGTTCGGGCCTGCGCAGTTGGGACGACAACAAGAATCCTGTTGTCGGCAAACGGATTATCCCAGGGGTCCCGATCCCTGTCGCTGACCAAAAGGATCGCGGCCTCTGGGAACGAGACTGCTTCAAGTCTGAATCGCGTTGTGCCACAAGTTTTATGCCATAAATTGATAAAATACCTCTTTATCTTTAACCAAAACATGTTTTTAGGTCTAGGTTAGGTGCCACTTTTAAGAATTTTACATGAAGTTCCTAAGGCATATTTTGGTGCAGTTTGCTTTACTTTGAATTGAATTGAATTACGAGAATATAAGATAACCTGTTTTTGCTGATTACAGAGAGATACGACTAAATCGTATTGAAACAGTAAGAAGAAACAATATACTTCCAAATGAGTGCAAATGGTCTAGGTTTTCTCCACGGCCCGTAGTTTAACGAACGTTAAAAAAGCTGATTAACAGCGTCTAAAATTTGCATATTTTAGCTGGTAACGGTCGTTCAGAGCTGAAATGCTGAGAATGGCAGTAAAATAAACTATTTCCTCATTCTAACTGCAATTTAGTTATAAGGATGGATGGTGGTATTGATGATATAAATATAAGGCAAAAGTGTTTTCGAGTCTGAAATCGAGTGGAACGCTTTTAGGGACATTGCCTCTTAAATGCCGACGTAACCACGCAAACTGTTCGGTAATCGAACTTTATCGAACTCAATCGAACCTAATCGAGCCGGTCAGTATAAAACACGGACTGCAAACTGCGGACCACGGACTGTGGACTGTTTATAAAACACGTACTAGGTATAAAATGCAGACTGGAAACTACAAACTGAGTATAAAACACGGACTACGGACTGTGTCTATAAAAACAGCTTTTAAGTTCGCCAATAGTTGCAGTTGAAGGAGGTGAAGCAACAACTGAAAAGGTCCGTCACCGGCGGGGAGAATAAAAGAAAACAGAGCCTGTAACATCTTGTCTATTTGCTTATCAAGTGCCCCGGTCCCCCCTTCACGCTCTCAAAATTTGCAAAGACGTCTTTTTTAATTTCAAAATAGGTGACAGTGCACCCCTCAGTCAAAAAAACTTACCATAAGGACATGACCCTGCTGTCAAGGAGAAGTCGTCAATTGCTATGTCACCAGTGTAACTGCTTCCCACTACGCCTTCAAATGTTACCTGTCAAAAGTTGCAATCAGTCCGGAAGAGTCGCTGTTGTTATTAATGTCTTGAAATTAATGAAAAATTATCTTCGAATTTGTCATAAAACTGCAAACTTAACTACAGAAATAAGGAAATGTCGGCTAATAGCAAAACAGATCCTCTTGGAAACACTAGGCGCATCATATTTTGCACTACATTTACGGACTTACTTGCACCACTATGAGTAAGAAAGAATAATCTTGCTATGACTAAATCATGTTACCAAATGGTACATCAGTTATATTTCATGTGTGCTTAATTTATAATTAATGGTAAAGATGGAGTATTATAACGGATGCAGTCTTGTCGACTTTTTCAGTTTTTCATTACAGACCGAAGTACAGAAACTTATGGCTTAAGTAAGATTCGGATAACATAGACCCGAGAACCGAAAGACGTCTTCCGGATGGTGGACCTGCGCACCCTTCAGACCAGAAAAGTCTCGTTATGGAAGGTACTTTCAGTAAAGCTGAAATTACTACCACTTAAGGATCGCAGATAGGAATCTACGTAGTTTATATAAATTTAACTAAATAACAGCGAATGATGGCCAGGATTGGTGAAAACTATCAGCTGTAAACAGTTAACATACTTTCAACGATGAGCACAAGTTCGGAACCCTTTATCAAAAAATTCCCGGACCCGCTGCTGTACTTTAATGGCAATTAAATGAACAAAAAAAGTGAGCCATTGGTAGCTTATGGCTCCCAACCCGGTTGGCTTCCCCAATTACCGCTCTCAGAGAACAGCGTTTTACCACCATTGATGGGGTCATTAAAGTTTAAATTCTAATTTTACTTTCAATATTTTCATTATCCTAATTTATTGTTAAGCAATGAGTTGATAAAAATAAAGATTCGGTTGTTGTTAGAAGAGAAGCAAAAATAACGCTTATCTTACCCTATGCAATCCCTCGATAGCTGATACATTTACGCTGGCCTTACGCCAAATGCCTCTTTTATCACCACGTGCAAAGAACACTAAGTTGCCACTTACGGTGACACTCAGGTTTCCAGTAGTTGCACCATACATATGGTAATAGAACTGAAGGCACATATTCCCAAAGGATTCCAGTGCAGGACCGTACAATTTTGCGTTATCACCTGGTTGTCTTGGACTGGATGCTTCTATATACATGTAATAACCTTATAGGGATGAAGATGGTTAGAGAGTGGCAACTTAGTCTTTTTCGGTAGAGGACGGTCTAATTTTGTCATATCATCCAGCTCTCTCTTGTGGACTAAATATTTCTAAAAAATGCACATGTAATAACCTACAAAGAGGAAAAGATGTAAGGAAGGCAACAAGAAAAACAACTGACCAAAAGGCACTGAAAAAGTACAGTCGACTCTCGCCTTGCGGACACCCCGCTATAACGGACACCGCGATAAAAAGGACAGCAGCTAAATCCCAGGCAAAAACAAATTAGAGATGTTTGACTGAAATAAACTCCCGCTATTACGGATTCTCGCTAATAAGGACACTTACTCGAGGTCCTTACAGTGTCCGCAATAAAGGGAGTTGACTGTATCCAGTTGACTTAAAACAGTATTCTAACAACGTTAGTTCAGCTTAAATAACGTTGAATGATGATCTGAATCGAAGTACCTATTAGTAACTCCCAAGTTTCCTTTTATTCGTTTTATTTTTTTTCTTTGAAGGAAGACGCTTATTCATGGTAGAATAAGAGGGCAAATGACAACAAAGCCCAGAATGTAAAGAGTAACTGCAACCTTGTAGTTGCACCGGTCCGAAGAGGCAGTCGAAATTAGATACTCTCGCCTATATTTAATACACCTGTGCAACGTACAAGTAACAAAAAAAGAAACAAAAACGAGCAGTTTCATCTAAGACAACAATAGCAACAACAACAAAAAAAGGGTAGAAAAGAGTGACATGTAATTAAATTTGCAAGACTAAAACTAGCGATATTTTCATGCTAAAAATGAAGTAGAAATTCCGACCAACTGACTGTTAAATTTGTGACACGTTATTACAATTCTCGTTGCTCATAGTAGGACTGGCTAGATGTACTGATGAATTAGTTTAGAGCTCACCGGTCATGTTTCCTGTGGTGTGATCAAAGGAAGGTCCTGTAAGGTCAGAAGGTGTGCTTCCACTGTGTCGAGTCCAGTCAAACTTGTCATTAATGCCTTGCACGAAACCGCACATTGAAACATCAAAGTTGCATATTGTTTCAAAGTTGCCTATTATTTCTAAGATAAATAAAACAAATAAATTCTCACATTAAAAACTGAGCCTTTTCTTCCTGGGGTCAACGACTTTAACGATCACCTCAAAGGCATGATACGATCCTAGAAAGTACAATTACACAGGCTGACCACGAGTTAGTTAAGAGCGGTGAGGCTTAACCTTAATTAACACCTAAGCGTAAATGCAGGCGTAATAAGAGAACTTGCTCTCCAAGTAATATTGGAATTCAGGTCTTCTAAATTGACTAGAAATGCATCCAAGAAAGGCTCGGCTCCTATATTTACTAGGACAAGAGGCGCATCGTTTCCAAAATATTTGGGTTGAAGAGCTTTAATAAGTGCGGGCTTTATTTATTTATTTCTTGCTTCCTGTAGACTGCAAAATAGTCGGGTTTTTTTTCTTAAAATCAGTAAAGAAATTGGTAAAGCGTGGCGAGAGAGAAAAAAACCGACTGTTCTTTTTCCATACAATGAGTTCGCTCCGACCAGGGGGTTCAAAAATGTCGTCGAGTTGTCAAAAATCTGTTCACAACTCCGCCCTCTTTGTGAATTTGATACACTCGGTGATTGATTTCGAGGGAGAAAAGCGCGTGTTATTGTCTACATTTGGCTTCGAATCTTGACGCTGTAATCCAGTAATTCTAAAGCAGTTTTTAGCGTTGCTTCTCTGTGGAATGTAGTGTATATAGTGAAATGTAGTATATATAGTGAGGGATTAAAAATGAGTGGAAGTGGCAGTACGACAACAAAGCCTGTGCCTGCTCCTCGAAGAGGGAGAAAGCCGAAAGAGCCGAGGGCTTTAGACCAGTCAATCTAGGCATTTTCGAGACTCAACATCAAGCTAATTGCAACAGAATTGTTTTCAACGCCAGTTAAGTAAGGGTTGCCCATCTAGCAACATACTAAAAATCCGCCAAAATCCGTTCTGCGGAGCATGTCAAAATTAAGCGTTAAACATTTTGAGCTTTTAACACAGGGCATCCACGTTAGTTAAAATTATACGGTTAAACAAAAAAATGCACAAAATGTGTTTTTTACTTTTATGGAAAAGTGAAAGACGAAAGAGTGACTACTACCTAGTTTTCGCTGATAAAAACAAAGTGTTTCTTTTTTTCAAAGGGATAAATATTAAACACGGTTGGCTTTTGCACAGGAAGCCCATGTTCCACTCAAGAAACCCCAAAACAACAGGAGGTTTTCAGAGTAATAGAGTGAACTGTTGGCTGTAAAACTGCAACAAATTTAGTCGTAGGGCTTTAAAGCTGAAAAATGAAAGCCTTTACTTAATCATTAGCTTTTAAAATATATCCTTTTTTATCAGATTTCTGTTAGCTGCAAGGGTAGGAAAAATATATATCAGAGCTGGATTATTGAATAACTTTACAACCAAAATAAAGATGTCAACATGAAAACTAAGAGTGCAGTCATTTGCCTTCTTCATTCTCCTCCTTTCTTTCTCCTCGCTTTTTCTATTTTCTCTTTTCTTGATTTTTTCTAGGAGGATTTCGGGCTCGACGTTTTAAGGGTCTTTCTTGGCATAAAAATTAGATAACGACATTTTGTCACTAAATCCTGACCTTAGGAGGTTTTCTTTTAAGGTTATATATCTTGGTAAGGCGTTTCATTGACCACTGGATGAATTAATTTAATTCGCTCGTAGTTTTAGGAATGAAATGGCTTGCACAATGCAACCCTTACTTAAATTCAATAATCTAGAAGAGCGCAGCATTAAAGCACTAAATGCTAAGTGTCGAAGTGGGAGGAAAGTTAAGTTACCTCTATCCTCCTTAGTTGCTGCGAATACACCACTGGTTTCTTTGCCAGAAATTTTGCAGCATGGGCTCGCTGGACCAAACCTTGCGGCCAGAATACGAGTGACAGTAATAATGATCGTCATTACGAACAGAAAAACGAGAATTTGCCACAATTGGAAAGTGAATCTACTGTTCAAAAGGTTCTTAACACTCTGCTTCTTGGTTTCCGAATTCGTAGCAACTGGTAAGAGCTCTTGCATATATATATCGAACCGCATCATATCAGTAGACATGGCGCCTAGTAAGAGTAGTAATGAACCACTTGACTCAGTAAGCCACAAAATGCTTCACAGCTCCCTTCATATGATCATATTTTTATCCAGTTCTTAAAAGATGAAAAAATATATTTTGCCGAACTTTGATCGGTCAAGGATATTTACGTCATCTGTCGATAACTTCCTTTCGCTACGGATGTTTGTTTTGCTGCAGATTAAGCAGATACAGTCTAACCTCTCCTTACGGACACCTCTATAATACAGACAGTTCGTTTGGTCCCCGAAAAGCCAAAATTATACATTCCCTATCTCCATAATACGGACACCTCTGTAAAGCGGACACTTGGTTCTGGCCCATTAGTGTCCGTATTAAAGAGGTTTGACTTAAGTGTAAATATCATATAAGTACATTATTTTAGTAAATGTAAAATAACTATATTATTTTGAAGTTCGAACTTTCATAACATCAGTTTCTAATTATAGTCTCTGATTCTCCATTTTCGTGGTTCTTTAATCAAAGAGCACGATTAGGTTAGTCAAGACTGAATTATTCTAGCATCTCACTCTGTATAAAATTGTAGAATGTTACAATCGATGATAAGGAATCATGAGGGGGCCTCCATAGCATCGCGCGATGTGCCATCCAGGGTATGTTTTCCTTCAGTTTCGCTAGATCTGTCAGAAAACCTCTGCCCGTTGTTGACATGTTTTTAAGAAGGTCTGAATGGGGGGTAGTTGTCGGTAGTTGGTAAACATTTTCGATATATATCGGGTGTCGGTAAATCTCAGTTAATAGCGGAGCCTCCGCGCGCGCGAGCGTGGAGCTCCATACCTAAGAGAAAATGGAAAACTGTCGATACGAGAAATTTGGTTATGACGTCACCGTAGGTCCCTCCGTACGTCCTTGCATTCTTTCCTGGTAGGGGTAAGTAGAAACGAATTCATCCCCTCTCCCCAAGAGAGTTTTGTTCCCTATTGTTTCGAAAGGCTTTAGAAGTGATTCATTGCCCAGAATGCTATCGTCTTTTGCAACATGTACTTACAGTGCCCAGTTTTTTAATGCGCTGCATAGTAATTGAATAACTAAGCTATCGGAAAGCCGACTACTCCGTAAAAGAATCGCTAGCTGTCAATGCAACGGTTTGAATACCCTTAGAATGATCTGACTGATCTTACTGCGTGCGACGGCTAAACACTTTCTCTCAATGCACTGTAAAAAAGCGTTGTCAAATAGCAAAAGAAATGAGCGGAACACTTCCTTTTGTTTCATCGTAGCGTTTCAGTTTCGTTGAACCGGTCAAAGCAGCTCATATTATGGCGTACATTTGCGGACAAAAATAATTGAAAATAAAAGACAATTTGAAGTTCAAAAATTAGACTATCCGTGTCGAAATCTCGTCATATGAATTTGAAATCGCAGTGAACGCAGTCGAAATAGCATCATTCGAACTTGAAGTTACTTTGAACAAGTTGAAACTATAAAGGGAAAACTCGACATCGCGGATGTTGAAGTTCAAATCACCATTCCGACTAAAATGCAAATTACATGATTTGAACTCAATTCACCTTCTCCTCTCTAATAAGCCACTTAATCGTTAACAATGCAACCATAATCTTCCGCAAAATTCCAAATGAAACCTTTAATTTGGACTTAAAGTCACGTCACATATTCGAATTCGAAAAACCAAAATTTCAATTCCAAAGGAAGCGGAAGTAAAAATACACAGGAACAGAGTAACGACTAGGTACGAGTCTATAGATGGGAGGCTTGGAACCTGAGCTTTCCTCACCTCTGATGTGATCATCGTCATGGCTTCTCGATGGCTACCGAACAACGAAGAGTTTTTCGTTGGACTGGTTAGACTGTTAGAGGCATCAGAAAGTAATCTAAACTCAGCATCATATGATAATTCTGAATTTTTATTTCGTCGACTTGATGCTCACGAGAAAACTTTGTCAACTCTGCTAACAGTGTTGACAAGCCTACATGACTCCTGCAGTTCGCGGATGAATAAAAGCCTTCATAGCTTAGCTTTAACTAAGATGTCCTTTAGGGATTTTCCCTTACGATATGAGATGATGGGGGGCTCCTTAAAGATTTCTCTCAGTTGCGGCTGATTTTCTATAATTGCCATTTCCCCATCAGTGTGTCCTTTAGGTTAGGCAACGCCGGATGGTATTGTGTTAGAAAGGGCAGTATTTTCTTAGGTGCGGTTTTGTTTCTCTGCGCTAGCGACATTTCTCTATCAGAGAATTTAATCTCTGAAAGGTGTTTTCCTACAATTCTAGCTGGGTTAGACTGCAAAACAGCCTCGTTCCAGACCTTTTGGTTGACTGCTTGCGCTTATTTGAATACGCAAAAATACGGACTGTTTTGCAGTCTAAGCTGGGTAATCTCTATTCTGCAGGCGTGTTTTGAAATTACTCATGTTTTCCTCAAAAGTAAATTGAGAGGAATTTGTTCTCAGAAGCCTTAACGCTTCTCCTTTTATAAAGTTTAAGTTTGCCTTTACAGCCTTCACAATCTGTTGGATTGTCTTAGAGTCACCCTTATCATTCACATTGTCCGCCATGTTGACCAGAGAGTTCAAGTGAAGGGAGATCTTTTCGCGCCAAAAGGCAGTTATGCAAACATCCCGTATGTACAGTGTAGCGAAACTCTTATCATTTATGGTTCCTGTGTAAAAAAGCCAGAACTTCTACAAGGACTACATAGTGCTTATTCATGTGTTATTTTTCATGTCAAGCACAAAAAATCACCATTTCTCGCGGTTTTAACCTAATGTCTAATTCTTGGCAAAATCCAAGATGGCGGCTAAGATGGCCACCATTGTTGGTGACGTCATAGGCCTCCAGGAGCGCCACCACCTATTAATGATATACCTCATCCTGTTAAGAAGGTCAAAGGCTTTCCACTGTTTTGAAATACTGCAACACATCAAAAACTCTAGGGGAGGGCTCCATCTCTCCCCCCCCCCCACCCCCACTTGTACTTCTGTGGGAGTGTGAATTTGAGTGTACGTCCGAGGGTTAATAACGATTAAGTATAAAGACTGCCATGTTGGTTTTTGCATTTTGCCTTTAAGTCGGCTGAGACATTACTTATCGGTGGATGTCTGCATTCCTTATAATTATTTTTCCTATAACTTAAAAAATGAAATATATTATTTAATAATATCAAAGTCTTTTTGAAGTTAAACTGACATCCGAACAAAACGCGACAAGGTGAGAGTCAAATCAGCTTTTCAGCTATTGTGTCTTTTGTTAGAATTCAATCTTTAGGCAATCAGTAAAATTAGGAAACAAATTTTCAGAAACTAAACAGGCTCTTGCCGTTTTTCTAGCTACAAAAAGCCGCAGACGCAATTGTGAGTGGTAAATACTGCACGTACCCTAATATCCATCCACATGATGGGTGTTTTCTGTAAGCTATGTAATTTTTGACAGTACAGTGTATTAAAAAAATCTTATAGAAGCGGTTATTTTATGCAACATACACTTTATTAGACATTCTTGGACAGTAACTTTAATAAAATCTTTCGATCTATGCTAGTTTATATTATTATGAAGCACACAACTCGCGCGAAAGGCAGACATTACATCCAGCCTCGTTTCCATGTTGTGCTTTAGGGGAGATATGGGGTTCTAATAAAACCCGTTTTTGGCAACTTCCCCCCCAGGGATTTCCAGGGAGCTTTGATATGTTGTAGAGGACATGTTGCTGAGTCAATAACCGTTAAAAAAAACCTTCTTTTGCGATTAGTGACAGGTTGACCTATTTGTTTTCGCAAAATGCCCGGACTATTAATTATTAATAGTTGATATGTATTGCACCCAGTTTCAAGACTTTGATTCTTATAAAACGTAAGAATGCATCATTCATTGTACTTTTAAAATTTCATTTCATTTAACTACGTATTTTTTATGCAACATGATCGTTTATTTCACCTTTGCCAATATAGTACCGATAAAATCACCAAAGCTTTTATTGTAAATGGGAACTTGGTTTCCCTGTTTATTACAGGGCACAATAAAAAATAACCAAGAGAGGTTAACTGGACAGAGGAAAACGCCCACTTCAGCCTTTTGGATACGTCAATTTTTTTTTTTCAGTAAAAAACTACAAGGGGTGACATGCTATACATCTATACCGGCGTGAAATCGTGTGTCGTAGGAAACAATAGGTCGTTCTTTAAACATTATTTTGGCAAAGTAGTGATTGGTTTTGTATGAGATTTCACTTTTTAACTCGTGGGTACGCGCGAACGTAGACACGAGTTATTTGCAGCGAAAGGGATATGAAAATGAGTCACTTGCTAACTGGTAGTAGATGGACTTCGTAATTAATCAGGTTCGAACCCGAGAGTGCCAAGATTTATCGTTTGGTGGATTATTACTTGTTTCCATATCAAATTCATGCCTTGAATACCGCTCGAATGAAGTTTCATGCGCCTATTTTAATACATTTTCTTTCAGTTTTGCCGAAAACATTTGCTGAATATAAGAGTTCTTGTTTCTTCTACCGACAGACTCGTAGCTTTTTGAGCCCGAGTGCGCTTTTTTTAAAAAAGGCTTTAAGTTGTTGTAACGTAATATAATCTGCAGTCTATGAAGTGTATCGCGTATTTTTCAGTAATTGAACCCCTAAGCATTTGTGAGCAATTCATCGACAAGAAGAAAGCGATGGTAACTTATGGTAACTTTTTTATCAGATACTGTTATGCATAAGTATATTCAAAGCTGAATTTACACATGACGGGGCCCGATAGAAAGAAAAAAAAATAAACTTGCGCTGAACACAAAAGTCGGCCAGCTTTTTCTTTTAGGTCTTTTCTTGAGACATTATTTTGTTGACTCTAACATCCGTAACCTGTAAATTGGCTACCGTAGAGTATCGCGCATAAAAAAGATTTTTTCCCTTTATATTGTGTTCATATCAGTCGTTTTCACTCAGCTGTTACCTCGAACCCCAAATCATTTTCCCCTGCCGCGACTTTGGACCCGCGACCGCGACATTGGACCCGCGACCGCGAATTTGGACCCGCTACCCGCTACCCGCGACCCGCGACCCGCGACTATTAGTCAAACTCGAAAGCAACGAAAGTATGTGAAGTAATCTGCAGTGTTATAGCTCCGAAAGACAGCGAAAAGCTTTTTCAAGCGATACGCCAGCCTACCGCGAACGATCTTGATGAACCAACAGAGGATCTTATTGCTTTTATGTCTGCATATCGAGATGCCATGACAAAGAATGTTAAGATTGAAGTACTCAGCATCTACGCTTATCGGTATACCATGAAGCTGTTACAGAAATTCCACGAGCCTTATGAAAAGATAAGTTTGAGACAAATAGAAAGAGCGAGATTGCATGCAAGGAAACGAGGGCCTGGGTGAGGTATCCCGAAAGTATTCGGCCATCGAGTACGTCTGGACACAAGCAAAGTTAACCACTTTATAGATCTTGTAAACCGTCCTTATTTCTACCAAGATATCTCCTTTGGAACGCGAACACTGACCTTAGATGGGGGAGGCAAAATAACAATGCCAAACGTAATCCGGACCGTGACTAGATCGACCCTGATTACGCAGTACTTTCAACATTGCAAAGAAGAATCATTTGAACCGGCTAGCCGCTCAACCCTTTTTCGCATTCTTGAGGTGAGACAGGCTTCACAGCAGAAGTCTCTCAGTGGTCTGGACAACATTGCAGCAGAAGGGGTCGCATCTTTTGAGCGGCTATTGGGTATTCTAGAAGAGCTGAATCAGGCTGGTGCCGATAAAAGAAGAGTTACAGAACTTGCAAAGAGATTGAACGATGGCAAAAGATACCTGAAGACGGAGTTTAAAGTGAACTGTTCAGCAGAGGAGAGTGAGTGCCCAGACCACTGCAGAAGATTTGCGTTGAGCGATCCAGTTTATCTATGCTTCAACCATCAGTCCTCACACACACAATATGGTGTGTGAACAATGCGAACAATTGAAGGCAACGTTGGACGAGATGGAAGAAAGTGTAAAGAAACACTCCAGCCATCTTTACAGCCAAGAACAAAAGCATGTTCTTCTTTTCGATTTTGAAAGATCTAAGAATGGCATTTTTCTTTGGAAATCTCATGCCTTACGTTCTGTTAACCAAAAATCTGCTAAACAAGAAGCCCTCCAATCAGTCCTTGTTGTTAATGACTGGGCCATGAAATTTCTTCAAATGAAATACAGAGAAAAGCAAAGTGAATGGTTTGCTAAAAGAGCCCTTAGCTGGCATATAAGCAGTGTGATCTCAAAAGACCAAGAAACTCAGAAAGCTAAGGACCTGTCGTATGCCCATTTATTAGATTCGTGTTGTCAAGATTGGTGTGCGGTTGTATCTATTCTAGAAAACCTTTTTCAAAACACCAAAGTAAATTTTCCAACTGTTAAGCAGGCATTTCTACGTTCTGACGAGGCTGGCTGCTACCACTGCAATCAGCAGCAGTCAAAGATATTGGAGATCGAGTGCGAATTACAGTTGCACGTTATGATTTTTCAGAACCCCAGCAACGAAAGCTTGTTTGTGACAGGGTGCTTTGTCCCATGAAAGCAGCAAGAAGAAAGTACTGCGCGGAAGGCCATGACATCATGAACGTAGGAACAATGCAAGAGGCGCTTAAGGAACGGCCTGTCAAGGGAACAACAACCGCTGTAGCCATTTTGGATGAGTCATCCAAAATTCTTGAGGTTCAGAAGATAAAACAATTTAGTGAGTTCTACAACTTTAGATACGAAGAGAGTGGGATAAGAGTGTGTAAAGCTTACGCTGTTGGGGTCGGTAAGCTTATCCCTTGGCAATCTTTGTACATATGGCACCAGGGTTGCACAAATATATCATTAATGGAGGGAAAAGGATTTTTCACCAACACAGAAATAAGAGACCTTCATCGCCCAAGAAAGTGTCAAACAAGTAAAGACGACGTTGAAATTGACAATCAGCCATCGATGTTTGTGTGCCCTGAAGAAGGCTGTAATTGCACTCTTCACTCTTTCTCCGAACTTGAATTGCATATAGACGTAGGAATACATGATACTAGGAAGTCGGGAAGTCTTTATGATAACGTACGGAAAAACTGGGCTGAAACATTTTCTTCAATTGAGAACCAGAAGTTAACAAGCAACAAATCTTCCACTGGTCTGACTGTTAACAGCACAAATTCTCGTCTAAGTATTGGATGGGCTCTTAACAAAGGTAGAACCGGCGGAGTTCGTTTTTCTGAGAACGTGAGACGGTACCTTACAACAAGGTTTGAAATGGGAGAAAGAACGGGCAAAAAACCCAATTTAGAAGAGATCGAACGTCAAATGCGCAATGCCAGAAATGAACGGAATGAAAGATTGTTTCAAAGAGAGGAGTGGCTCACCAAGACCCAAATAATGTTTTTGTTTTTGTTTTTTTTTTTTCATGCCTCGCTTCACGGCAGAGAACGTGAGGTCAGGATGCTATATCAAAGGAACAGGAATTTGATATTACAGCAGATGAGAATAACGACATCGACGCCCTCATTGGAGACTCTGATCGCAACAATTTGCTTGACGATATTCAAAGCAGAATTGGACTAGAGCATCCGATAGTATATGACACATATGATCTTTGCGCCTATCACAAGGAAGGGAAGCTACAGGCCTTCAATGTTGCAATGTTCAAGACTATTCTTCGCCACTTTGAAGTACCTTTCCGAGCAAAAGATAGAAAGACAGACTTTATTAGGTTGTTAACGGAGGTTATCCAAGAATGCAACTGCTGAAAAGAGTCGACTGTCGCTTTTATCAAACAAACGGGGCAACAATATTTCTTCTTGTAACTGAATCAATAAAGCTTTTATTGTGCAAGTCTTAGTTAATTTTTTTTCGAAAATTCTTTGGCAGGTTGAGTTTTTTCGCATTTGTTATGTGACTTTTACGCGATGAAATGAAACGGTGACGCTTAATTCGATAAAATATTTTAATAATCTAATTGTTTTCTGATAAATACGCCAAACGAACACTATCAAGCTCACTTCACTCACTGTTCATCACGAAATAACCAAAGTTCGATATATCAAAATTCCAACTTGAATTCAAGGCTCCCTCTCTAACTGTCCAGACTGTCTCGGAATTCCCAGAGGAGACTAAAGCACAAAGAATAACAAACCAAATACAGACTGAAATATGACCATAAAGACTCATGCTAGAATTTTCATATATCGGACCTAAGCTATTGACAACGTGTAGCAGGGTCTATCATATTTGCGATTAGTGGGTGGTTGATTCATCACGCCTTAATAATGTACTATGACCTACCTTATTATAGGAAATTAACGCTCCATGAAATTAACGCGAATCGTTAAAATTCGCGTTAATTTCCGCCACGTTAATTAAGTGCAACGCTAATTTCCGCGCTCTTAATTTCCAGTATTTTAACCCCAATTTTGGAACCTGTCCAGACATTCTTGACTCCTAAAAAACATTACCTACAAGCTTTTTTCTTTTCATTTACCCTTTATTTTTCATCTTTCACCAAAGCTAAGGGGAAGGTTCACAATATTTGTTAACTTTGTGTCCAGTTGTCACCACCAATCGCGTTAATTTCCTTTATGATAAAATTCTACCTCCTCTTTCGCGTTAATTTTCTTTATTCAAAAGTTGTTGTCCATTAAATTCGCGTTAATTTAAGTCGCGTTAATTTCCAATGCCTTAATTTCATGGAGCGTTAATTTCCTATAATAAGGTACTTACTAAAGTTGCTTAAGTTCAGGTATCTAGATATTGACTGTACACATTTCTTCGTTTTCAAGCGAAAATAGCGATCAGCTTAGTCGTGATGGGAATTCATAAACACGTAATTAAGATGTGGAGTAGACGAGAATAGACGCCCTATTCTGTTTTTTGATTTCTCGGCTTTTAGGGTACAATCCTCATTTTCACAATTTATCTTTAAGGATTACCGTGTACGCTCGTCCCATACAGCGTAAAGGTCAATTCGTGAAGGACTTGCCCACTGTAAAATGTAAATACTTAATTTTATCTGTAAAAAAAATGTTCCCTAAAAACGCAACTGTTGTATGTCTAATAAAGAACGTACGGCAGGGCGAGACTAACAATTAAGGTTACACTCTTTTTTTAATAAGAATATATTTTATAAGAATATCGAGGCTGAAACTTGCGAAATTTTAAGAATATTTTAAGAATAAAGCCGAGGCTGAGATTTTGAACTTAACCGTATAAAATTATTCGTTTCTCTGAACGGCGAAAAACCAAAAGCCAAAACGGCCAAGTGTCGTTTGACGTGACATCTTGACCTCGCTCACTGCATCGAAAAGCGATGGAGCACGTGCTTGATACCCCAATAAATTCGAAAACGGAAATGTCATTAGCTATAATCTAAGAATAATACAAGAATATTTTCAGCCTAAAATCGGCAGAAAAATAAGAATATTCAGCCTGGGCCGGAAAAATAACATTCTTATAAAAAAAAAGAGTGTAGTGGCAAAGGTAAGTAAATTTAATGGTGTATACTTCCGTTCAGTTTTCCTGTAAATAAAGTAGAAAAAAAGTTGCCTAATAGCATTTTTTATTATTTTCAAGCTTAATAATATCAATAATTATAACAAAATATTGAAACAAGCCAATGCGGTGACTGACTTTCTGGTCCTTTTCTAAGTCTCGCTCTGTGACTATGCTTCGAATGAACCCACCAAATCGTGTCACATAACGGTAAGGTAGCAATAACACGATTTATTTAGTAAATTTAAATTTGAAAAGGTTTGGCTGCTGAACTTTTAGGAATATATTTCTGAAGATATATTTATTGAAAAAGGAAGAAGAGGAAGAAAAATATTTTTTTTTCGGTTAAAAAAACATATTTTATCTCCGAGCGGCAACTATTTGGAGAAATTTACTGTCAAAACAGCCGGTGTCCGCAAGGCGAATTCTGCATCAATATGCAAGTTTGATTCGAAACCTTCAAGTCTGAATCGCGTTGTACCACAAGTTTTAGTGCATAAATTGATAGAATACCTCTTTATCTTTAACCAAAAGATACCTAGGTTAGGTGCCACTTTTAAGAATTTTATGAAGTTCCTGAGGCATATTTTGGTGCAGTTTTCTTACTAATAATTGAATTACGAGAATAAAGATAACCTGTTTTTGCTGATTACAAGGAGATACGACTAAATCGTATTGAAACAGTAAGTAGAAACAATATACTTCCAAATGAGTGTAAATGGTCTAGGTTTTAACGGCCCGTAGTAGCTTTTAACGATCGTTAAAAAAAGCTGAATAACAGCGTCTAAAATTTGCATATTTTAGCCGGTAACGATCAGCATTTCAGAGATGAAATGCTGAGAATGGCAGTAAAATAAACTATTTCCTCATTCTAACTGCAATTTAGTTATAAGGATGGATAGTGGTATTGATGATATAAATATAAGGCAAAAGTGTTTTCGAGTCTGAAATCGAGTGGAACGCTTTGAGGGACATTGCCTCTTAATTGTGGACGTAACCAATCAAACTGTTCGGTAATCGAACTTTATCGAACTCATCGAACCGGTCAGTATAAAACACGAACTGCAGACTGCGGACCACGGACTGTGGACTGTTTATAAAACACGGACTAGGTATAAAATGCAGACTAGAAACTACAAACTGAGTATAAAACACGGACTACGGACTGTGTATAAAAAAAAACAGCTTTTAAGTTCGCCAATAGTTGCAGTCGAAGTAGGTGAAGCAACAACTGAAAAGGTCCGTCGCCGGCGGGGAGAATAAAAGAAAGCAGAGCCCTGTAACATCTTGTCTATTTGCTTATCAAGTGCCCCGGCCCCCCTTCACGCTCTCAAAATTTGCAAAGACGTCTTTTTTAAAATTTCAAAATAGGTGACAGTACACCCTTTAGTCAAAAAACTTACCATAAGGACATGACCCTGCTGTCAAGGAGAAGTCGTCAATTGCTATGTCACCAGTATAATCGCTTCCCACTACGCCTTCAAATGTTACCTGTCAAAGGTGAAATCAGTCCGGAAGAGTCGCTGTTGTTATTAATGTCTTGAAATTAATGAAAAATTATCTTCGAATTTGTCAAAAAACTGCAAACTTAACTACAGAAATAAGGAAATGTCGGCTAATAGCAAAACACATCCTCTTGGAAACACTAGGTGCATCATATTTTGCACTACATTTACGGACTTACTTGCACCACTATGAGTAAGAAAGAATAATCTTGCTATGACTAAATAATGTTACCAAATGGTACATCACTTATATTTCATGTGTGCTTAATTTATAATTAATGGTAAAGATGAAGTATTATAACGGATGCAGCCTTGTCGACTTTTTTAGTTTTTCATTACAGACCGAAGTACAGAAACGTATGGCTTAAGTAAGATTCGGATAACATAGACCCAAGAACCGAAAGACGTCTTCTGGATGGTGGACCTGCGCACCCTTCAGACCAGAAAAATCTTGTTATTGAAGGTGCTTTCAGTAAAACTGAATCTACGTAGTTTATATAAATGTAACTAAATGACAGCGAATGATGGCCAGAATTGGTGAAAACTATCAGTTGTAAACAGTTTTAACATACTTTTAACGGTGAGCACAAGTTCGGAACCCTTTATTAAAAAATTCCCGGACCCGCTGCTGTACTTTAATGGCAGTTAAATTAACAAAAAGAAGTGAGCGATTAGTGGCCTATGTCTCCCAACCCGGTTGGCTTTCCCAATTACCGCTTTCAGAGAACAGCGTTTTACCACCATTGATGGGGTCATTAAAGTTTAAATTCTAATTGTACTTTCAATATCCTGATTTATTGTTAAATAAAGATTCGGTTGTTGTCATTTTTGTTGTTAGAAGAGACACAAAAATAACGCATGGCTTACCCTATGCAATCCCTCGATAGCTGATATATTTACGCTGGCTTTACGCCACAAGCCTCCTTTATCACCACGTGCAGAGAACACTAAGTTCCCACTTACGTTGACTTTCAGGCTTTCAGTAGTTGCACCAGACATATGGTAATAGAACTGAAGGCACATATTCCCAAAGAATTTCAGTGGAGGACTGTACAATTTTGCGTTATCACCTGGTTGTCTTGGACTGGATGCTTCTATATACATGTAATAACCTTATATGGATGAAGATGGTTACAGAGTAGCAACTTAGTCTTTTTCGGTAGAGGACAGCCCGATTTTGTCATATCGTCTAGCTCTCCTGTGGACTAAATATTTCTAAAAAATGCACATGTATTAACCTACAAAGAGGAAAAAATGTAAGGAAAGCAACAGGCAAATGAAATTGACCAGAAGGCACTGAAAAAGTGTCCAGTTGACTTAAAATTACAGTATTCTAACAACGTTAGTTCAGCGTAAATGACGTAGAATGATCATCTGAAGTACCTATAAGTAAATGCCCAAGTTTCTTTTTATTCGTTTTATTATTTTCTTTGAAGACAGACGTATTATATTCATGGTAGAATAAAAGGGCAAATGACAACAAAGCCCACGGATGTAAAGAGTAACTGCAACGTTTGTAGTTGCACCGATCCGAAGAGGCAGTCGAAATTAGATACTCTCGCCTACATTTAATACACCTGTGCAACGTACAAGCAACAAAAAAACAAACAAAAACGAGCAGTTTCATCTACTAAAAAACAACTGCAACAACATAAAAAGGGTAGAAAAGAGTGATATGTAATTAAATTTGCAAGACTAAAACTAGCGATATTTTCAAGCAAAAAATGAAGTAGAAATGCCGACCAACTGACTGTTAAATTTGTTATACGTTATTACAATTCTCGTTGCCAATAGTAGGACTGGCTAGATGTACTGATGAATTAGTTTAGAGCTCACCGGTCAAGTTTCCAGTGGTGTGATCAAAGGAAGGTCCTGTATCATGAGAAGGTGTGCTTCCGTTGTGTCGAGTCCAGTCAAACTTGTCATTAGTGCCTTGCACGAAACCGCACATTGAAACATCAAAGTTGCATATTATTTCTAAGTTAAACAAAACAAATGAATCCTCTTATTAAAAGTTGCGCCTTTTTGACTAGAAATGCATCCAAGAATGGCTCGGCCACTATATTTACTAGGAGGAGAGGTGCATAGTTTTCAAAATATTTGCGTTGAAGGGCTTAACTGCGGGCTTTATTTATTTATTTATTTATTTTTTGCTTCAGGCGACCGAGGGGGCCTTCGGAGGCCTCCCTCTATAACTTCAAATCCGTTCATGATAGGCAACTAAAAATTACACAGAATAATGTACCAGGAGCCTGTGGTAAAGTACTCACCATTTTCAACATCAAGGCATAATTTGATTGACACAGTGACGTAATCTGACGTCACTATGACGCCATATTGTTAAGTTTTACTTAAAACCCATGAAAATCGAAAAAATCGTGATGGAAGAATTGATCTGCGTATTTTTAAATTTTGGAATTTTGTGGTTAGTTGCTGCGAGTCCGCAGGAACTATGTATCCGATTCTTGCCAGTAACTGTTTGTGTTATGGCTTAGAAGGAGTGGCGCGGTAATTCCAAGATATTTGGGGAAGAAGGGCTTAGTAGAACGTTTCTCGTGAAGATGAAATTGTTTCTTTTTACTTTCTATAACATAAACTATCATTTTATGTATTCTTTAGTCGAAATTTCAAAATTCGATCCACTCTGTCGTATACATTCAGACCATGAAGCAAAAGCACTTGTTCGAAGTTCAAGTAAAGTTTAATTTCTTGCTAACGTCACTGACGGCCTTTTCGGGAGACAGGTGCCTAGCAATATTAACACAAATTCTTTGCTGGTGGCAAGCAAGAGACATTTATTTGGGATGGGACAAAAAATCACAAAAATTAAAGAATTAGATTCCCGATCCAATATAAAAAAGTAAAATATTATTGTTATCATGACAGTGTAACTTGTGGCCTCCTGCGAATTTCTTGCCAGCTGAGTATAAATACAAGACATATGTTGATGGCGATCGTGGCTCATTGGCTTTGTTTGCATTCATCGCGCTGGCCGCCGGTTTTACGATTTATCACCGATTCTAAATTTAAGTGCACTTTCTTCTAGAAGTGAGTCATACCATAACATTGGTGACCATCTCCCGTGAATCCTGGCTGACAGCTGCAATTAAACTGTCCAGGGGTATTTATGCAAGTTGCATTTTGGTGGCAATCATGGCTACCGTTGCTGCATTCATCGATATCTAATTTTATTAGAATTAAAAAGAAGGGTAATCAATTAAAAAGAAGGGTAAAAAAATGTATTCTAAGACATAATTCAAGATCGACGTAAACTTTAAGATCAATTGAAAATCGGGCAATATTAATTATACCGTGACATTGGCGGCCATTTCCTGTAAATCCTGACTGACAACTGCAATTAAAGCGTCCAGCGGTATTTGCACAAGTTGCATTTTGGTGGCAATCATGGCTACCGTTGCTGCATTCATCGATATCTAATTAAAAAGAAGGGTAAAAAAATGTATTCTAAGACATAATTCAAGATCGACATAAACTTTCAGATCAATTGAAAATCGGGCAATATTAATTATACCGTGACATTGGCGGCCATTTCCTGTAAATCCTGACTGACAACTGCAATTAAAGCGTCCAGCGGTATTTGCACAAGTTGCCTTTTGGTGGCAATCATGGCTACCGTTGCTGCATTCATCGATATCTAATTAAAAAGAAGGGTAAAAAAATGTATTCTAAGACATAATTCAAGATCGACATAAACTTTCAGATCAATCGAAAATCGGGCAATATTAATTATACCGTGACATTGGCGGCCATTTCCTGTAAATCCTGACTGACAACTGCAATTAAAGCGTCCAGCGGTATTTGCACAAGTTGCATTTTGGTGGCAATCATGGCTACCGTTGCTGCATTCATCGATATCTAATTAAAAAGAAGGGTAAAAAAATGTATTCTAAGACATAATTCAAGATCGACATAAACTTTCAGATCAATTGAAAATCGGGCAATATTAATTATACCGTGACATTGGCGGCCATTTCCTGTAAATCCTGACTGACAACTGCAATTAAAGCGTCCAGCGGAATTTGCACAAGTTGCATTTTGGTGGCAATCATGGCTACCGTTGTTGCATTCATCGATATCTAATTAGAAAGAAGGGTAAAAAAATGTATTCTAAGACATAATTCAAGATCGACATAAACTTTCAGATCAATTGAAAATCGGGCAATATTAATTATACCGTGACATTGGCGGCCATTTCCTGTAAATCCTGACTGACAACTGCAATTAAAGCGTCCAGCGGTATTTGCACAAGTTGCATTTTGGTGGCAATCATGGCTACCGTTGCTGCATTCATCGATATCTAATTAAAAAGAAGGGTAAAAAATGTATTCTAAGACATAATTCAAGATCGACATAAACTTTAAGATCAATTGAAAATCGTGCAATATTATACCATAACATTGGCGGCCATTTCCTGCAAATCCTGACTGACAGCTGCAATTATAGTGTCCAGCAGTATTTGCACAAGTTGCATTTTGGTGGCAATCATGGCTACCGTTGCTGCATTCATCAATATCTGAATAGGATTAGTAAAAAAGAACAATTGGCAGAAGAAGTTCTCGTGAACTAAATTTCCTTAATACCAGAGATACAATTTACGAAATCAAGTGGACGTTTTTTTTGGAAGACTATAGCTGAGAGGAAAAACAAAGGTGTCGGGCAAAATTTACACAGGTTGCATGCCTTTGGAAAGCTTATCTGCTATTGCAAAGAGACAGAAAAGAAAACAATGAAGTGTTTAAAAAAACGCGATTTTCGATCCATTATTAAGAAGTAAGATAAAAGGTGTATTGTGACACTGCGTGAATTTTTCGCCGAGTTGCCTTTTTTAAATTTATATTCAGATCATTGGAACTTTAGGGAAACTCTGACACTGTTTTCCCATTACATGTGCGAAAATTTGCGCTGTGTTGCCTTTCTTTCAAGTTTAAGTGCACTTCCTGCTAGAAGTGAGTCATACCATAACACAGGTGGCCATCTCCCGTGAATCCTGGTAAACAACTGCAATTAAAGTGTTCAGGGGTATTTATGCAAGTTGCATTTTGGTGGCAATCGTGAGTACCGATGCAGCATTCGTCGATATCTATATAACATGTGGAGAAAACATTATATAACATTAGGCCGGTTTCTGTATATTACAAATTTTAAATAAGCTACTCTTGCCCCAAGGTATGGTTGAAGTGGGAACGCGAATTGTCTGTATAGAAATCTTTGAACACTGTTTCTCTGGGTTTCCAGGCGAGGCGTTAGGTTCGAAAAAGGTCTGTGGGAACGGTGGTACGATCATGGTGCGCACATACCCTCCCATGGACCGCGTCCCGTCTGTTGGAGGGTTAAACAAGTGCTGGGTGGGGGGACTAGGTACAGACAGTATAACACGATCGAATGACGGTTTGCTGGATTCTACAATATAAAAACAAAGGCGATGCAAGGTACAAGGGTACAATGACCAATCAAGGTCATAAATAAATCCTCTGCGCCCTATGATATAGTCTCCTGTAGCTTGTTGGTAGAGCATCTGGGCTATTAATTTTTTTTAGGTTGAACAAATTTGAGAGAAAAGCAGAACACGTCTCAAAAGATAATGGTCCAGTTTTGATTTTTAGCACGTATATGTTTAGACATTGAAAGTGCTTCCTGTAGTCTGTCGCTACGGATGGAAAGAACAGGGACATGGATTGAAACTTGAAGTTGAGTCAACGTTTTTAACTATGAATGCTTAAGGCCTGCAAAAATCACCAAAAAATTATTATCATGGATATTGCTCCCTAACGATTTGTCTGATGTTTTCTTCATAACTCTAACAGGAGCGTTTTGTTTGTGATTGAAAATGAATTCAGAGCAAAATTGACCTGAAACAGTCATGTCCTCGTGACGTAACCCCTTTAACACGATCACCTCCGGTTAAAATCACGACTGCTTTTTTCTGGCCCGAACAAAAGTCCATGCATGCGTTTCTTTAGTTTACAGTCTCGTCGATATGGCCACCTGGTTATTCTGCTGGCAGAAGTCTCTCACGTCGAGGCGTCGTGAGAGACCTCTGCTAGCAGGGAAGGTCATTACAACCAACGGCCTACAATTTTTGG